GGATTATTAGCCTCATTAAATTGTAAATCTGTCACAGTCCAGCTGTTGTGGGAACCTGAACTTTCAGAATGTTATCAATTCACTGTTCTGATCTCTCTACCCGAAGTCCCTCTAGAAACTTTTAACACTTTCAGCTTCAAAAGCCTGCAGGGTCCTTCCCTATTTCCCTCACCTACAAACTTCTTCCCACAAAAATCCTTGCCTTTTTTCAACTAAAAAAGCACAGATCTGCTTCTTTCCTGGAGTTAAACCCATATACCCCACTGCAGACCTAACCCAGTTAATTAATAACTCTGGTCTAATTTCTACACACGCAGCCAAGCACATTTTGCAGAAGCACCTACAAGAAAGAACTGTGAAGAACAAAAATGCATCTCATCTCTACCCTGCCTTATGAGCTGAGAACCAAGCTGACCTACTGCAAGTTTCCTACCTCTGGAGAAGTCCAACAACTCTCAGCCTCTGTTCATCTATCAAGGGCAATACAAGCCCAGGCAGGTACTGCAGCTGAGTGCCTTCACAGCACTATGTAAATACAGATGCAAATGAGCTTTGGCCCTCAGACTTCTGGCAAGTTACAAACATGGTCCCTCATGTTATGAGGTGTCTCCTGCTGCACACAATGGGTGCAAACCTTCAGACCCTTCCCAAACTAAGATTCTTGGTGAAGGGCAGGGACAAGTTTGCCTCTGTAAAGGACACAGAACCAGGACAAAACCAGTGTACCTGCTTTTCTAAGTGACCACTGACACAAGGTTTGTGGACAGAAGGCTGCTAAATCCCAGAGGGCACTGACAGGTGACTAGATTCCACAAAGAGAGGAAACTCCACCTTAGGAAACCATTACTGCATGTTGCAGACAAGGCTGTCAAGAACACAGGTAATGAAGGATTAGTACTGGAGAGACAGGAAAGAAGTAATCTTAAAATAATTTTTGAATTTTTTTTTTCTGCCCAAGCAAGTCAAACATAGTGGACAGACACAAACAGTTACTTTCTCACAGACCTGCAAAATCTCTTAGGAGAAATAAACAAAAAATTTGGAGTACATCAGAGTAAGGATATATTCTGAAGGAGCTAGGATTTTTTTTCCTTGTACACAGTAGTCTAACAAAATAAAAGACTGTTGCTTTTATCCAACACCCTCCTTACAGCAATAATATGTAAAATCCAGTGTCCTTCTGAACCTAGCTTCTTTTTTACTTTCCTATGTAACTAAAAAACAAAGTGGCTGTGCCTGTGACAATCATTTATAATGTCTTTAAAAAAATACACTTTAATGCCTTTGGCTTTTCATCATTATTTTGAGCAGCTTAAGTCAACTGTGAAGAAGATTCATGGTTCTCACGTTGTAAGAACACAACAAATCAAGTTCTCATAGCAGCAGTCTGCCCTACCAAAAGGGGCAGCCTTAACATAAAGAAAAGAAACATTCCATATCCGTAATTAGATAAATAATACTTCAGGCAAGATATGGCACCTTTAAAAGTGCCTTTTCAGTCTTGGATTTTTCTTTGCTTGTTACTACAGAAACCATCTAGCAACCAGAATCTAAGACAGACTCCACCCAAAACAGACAAAAACAATATAGACAGAGTAGGCTTGTCCCCCGTCCTCCTCCCGCCCCGCGTCCCCCTGTCCTCCCCCCCTTTTTTTTTTTTTTTTT